TAACTAAACTATCAAGATCATCCTTAAATTACACTTCATTTGATGAATCCTTAACTGGATTATAAACTTTTGAGTCATCGGCATTCATACAGTGCACGCTTGGCACAACTTCTCTCTGATCGTTTATAAAAACAACGAACAAAAAAGGCCCCCAAACGGTAATCATTGTGGCACGCCACTGCATGCCTACTGATGCCCAGTCTGACACGGTTCCGTTAATACTGACACGTTGTCGTCTACGTACTAGAAAACCTGTGATCCATTAGAGTACATTTCCCTCTATATAACCCCAGACTTTTCCAAAATGATAGAGACTTTTCCAAATTGTAAGTTCAAAATCTTTGGTAATTACAAAAAAAACTCTTTGCTGACGCTTGGATAGAACAAGGCTAAGATTCACACAAATTTCCGAATAAAATTACCAATAACAATAACATTGTAACATTGAAAAAATTTTGGAAATCTAAGAAAACCATTTATCGATTCAATCATAATATCATTCCACTGTAAATTCTTGACTTATTTTGTGGTTATGGAGTTAAAGTTTCAAACTAAAGAACACGAGTCGTAAATATGCTATATATTGATGCTATACCAGTCACATACCTGAAGCTCTTAACGTTACTCATGTGGACTATATAAAGTCTATTGAACTTTTTTAAGTATATATGTTTGTATCTGTGCGTCTTTTGGCATAAAGACTATTAGACTTATTTAACTATACGTTTGTTTTGCGTCTTTTGATCAAAAACTATGTTAAATAACCTGATTTTGTTTCTGATTATAATAAGTACGAGCAAATTACGAAGATGATTTCATCAGAAAATACTAATGTTTATTATAATACCGAATTTTATGCGCAGCTACAGTGTATGTTCAATTTGCTCGCTGGATACGTGATGAACTATTTTCGTTTGAGGAACGAAAACAATCTAATTAGAGCTCGGAGTTTTAGGCTGTTTGCTTTGAACATTATAAAGCTCTATTTGATCTTTAGATTGTTTCTTCCTCGAATTTAATCGTAGCGATAAAGAAAAAGGAAAAAAGCGGCCTTTGGCAGCTTTGCTACCGTTGACCTTGAGTGGTGCAGCAGCCAGCTGGGGTAGTCTGCCTGCCTTCAATCGTAGCAC